AAATCTGTAAATAAACAAGAATATTCTAATAGGCCTAACAAGGTATGTACTTTGAAAATAGTTGTCTAGGGTAGAAAGTGGACAAGTAGCAGAGACTGATGATAAGTACCATGCGGTTGCCATTTCAGATGGAGAAACTAATTGCAAAATGAGGCTAAGGAAGAGCTGACCATTAAGCTGGAGATAAGTCAGGTCTGGATATTAACAGTTGTTAACAAGTTGAGGTGGATACTAAGATGGCCTCTGGGCAGATTGTTAAATCTGATTAGGTCTCAGCCATGTGGAGTCTGTAGTTATACAGAAAGCTGAATGGGGTGAGCATTTACAGAAACAACACATGTGTTGTTGATAAAAATTCAGATTTTGATTTTAGGGGGCTGGAGAGATGGCTCAGCAGTTAAGAGCATGGGCTGCTCTTGCACAAAACTTGGGTTCAGTTTCCAGCACGTACATGGCAGCTAACAAGTCCATTTCCAGGGGATCCAATGCCCTCTTCTGACCTCTGTGAGCATTGTAGACAGGTGCACTTATATACATGCAGGCAATACACTCAAACACATAAAATAAAAATAAATATATATATTTTAATTTTAAAAATATTTTATTATGGAGAGCTGGTACAGCTGTTAAAGGCTCAGGCTCACAACCAAAAAAAGGAAGGAGGACCCAACACTTGTGAAACCAAGACAGGTGAATTGCCACAGAGATCTGCCTGTCTCTGCCTCCCAAGTGCTGGGACTACAGGCGTGCGCCACCATGCCTGGCTTTGAATGAGTTTTTAACCTTTAAAAAAGATCTCTATTTCACTTTAAAATATGCTGTTTCTTACAGAAAGACTCATTGTTTTTGCTAATAACACTCAGATCTTGGTGCAGGCATCTCTAATCTGTTTGTATCTGATTATTACTAGTCATGGTCGGTTGCACTCAGATCCTTGGCCCCTGTGTATGGATATAAAGTCATCAGGTAGATTTCAATGGTAATGTTTATCACCTCTACTAATTAACATGATGTAAAATTTTATGCTTCCTCCTCAAATATAACTCACTTTTTAAATTTGTTGATTTTTTTGTGTGTATATTACAATCTGATTCATCTATACACCCACTTCCCACGTCACCCTCCCATAGCCTCCCCCCCTCCCCCACTAGAGCCCGCTACTGTCTGTTGTGTTGTTGGCACTCCCAGCCATTCCCCAATACTTGTCCATCTGGTGAATCTAGTCAGCCTATCTAGAGGTTTTTTAAGCATCCATATGTATAGCTAAAGGCTACATAATACGAAACAATGCCAGATAGGAGATACCTTCTTTTGAGTTAGCCAGAGTGGCCCAAGAGACTTCCAGATAGTAACCCTGCATAAAACTGGGAAAATGAACAGCAGACCCCAATCTTATCTAAAGGAATATTGACAACTGATTGCTGCTAGATGAGAAACAGCTGACCTTCCTAAAAAAAAAATAAATAAATAATAAATATTTTTTAAAAATTCAGGTTTTGCATTGAAATCTACCTGATGACTTTATAGACATACACAGGCGCCAAGGATCCAAGTGCAACTGATTATGACTAGTAATAATCAGATACATACAGATTAGAGATGCATGTGCAAACATCTCAGTGTTAGTAACAAAAATAATGAGTCTTTCTGAAAGGAACAATATATTCTAAAATGAAATAAAGGTTAAAAACTCATTCAATTTTATGTTTTACAGGGCTTATACTGAGTTCAATATTGTATAACTGTGTTAATTCAACTGTGAACCTAGAAACTGGCACCCGCTTGTGAAAGAGATGTACTCTTCCTCTGGAGTGTGTTACTGAATATGTTAAATCTGTAGTGAAATGCTTCTTCTAATCATGTAGTTATTAAAAATAAAAAAAAGATGATAAAAAAATTAGTAGATGTGAAAAACATTACCATTGAAATCTATCTGGCGACTTTATATTCATGCTCAGATGCCAAGGAGCTCAGAAAGTAGCTGACTGTCACTAGTTATAATCACATCTATAGAGATTAGAAACGCATGTGCAAACATCTTAATGTCAATTGCATTGAAAATGATTTTTTCTGTATGAAACTGTATTTTAATAATGAAATGGAGATCTTTTTTAAAGGTTAAAACCTCATTTAATTTTATGTCTTATAGGGTTTATAATGAGTACAATATTGTATAACTGTAATAATTTAACTGTAAACCTAAAAATTTAGAATTTTGAAAAAGATGCATCTTAGCTCAGAAAATTGTTATTGATATGTCAATGCTGTTGTAATGAAATGGTTCTTCTAAGTATGTGGTTATTAAATAAATAACTGGAAAAAAATTCAGGTTTTGGAATTTACCTACATTAAGATCTTGCTCCAGAAATTACTAGCTGTATACCTTGGTCAAGTTATTTGTTGGCTTTAAACCACATCTGGGACTGGCAACGTGACTCAGTCAGTAAAGGCACTTGCCAAACGTGATGTCCTGAGTTCATTCCCTGGAATCCACATGATGGAAGAAGAGAACTGATCCTCACAGGTTGTCCTCTAACCTCCACACGCATACACCATGGCACCCACATGTGTGCTCCAGTACACACAAAAACACCCAATACATGTAAAACTAACTCTTCTTCTGTAAAGTATGAATCAGACTGTTAGGTAATTAAGTAAAATCCTTGTCATATTCCATAGATGTTTGCCATATTGGTAGGGTATTCTCTTTGTTTATGCTATTTTGAATTATGTGTATGTGTGTATCTGTCTGTGGGTATATACATGTGAGTGTAGGTGCTCTCAGAGGACAAAGACATTAGATCCCTCTCAAGCTGCAGATTGTTGTGAGTCACCCGATCTGAATGCTAAGAACCAAACTTGCGCCCTCTGCAAGGGAAGTATATTCTCTTACCTGCTAAGCCACTTCTCCAGCTCCTTTTTTGGCTGAGCTGTTTCTCCAGCCCCTCTTTTTCTATTTTGAAAAAGTCCCATTTGCCTTTATTACTAAAGATTATATACAGTCTTCACTAAAAATTATAACCTGAATATGAGCATTTTCTTAGCCCAGAGCTTTTCATAGGCATTGCCATGCAAGACTCTTGTTTGAATGCAGATTTTAACTAATTAGGTGGGTTAGCCCTGAGGTTCAGCACATCCAGCAGCACCCAGATGCAGCTGTTGCTGCGGGTCTTACATCTTCTCTTCTTGCTGCTGTTTTTTCCTGCCCCCATAACTGCACCAACTCCCTCTTAACCGTTATCTCCTCCAGCTCTTCACCCCCATATCTGCCCCTTTTCTCCCTATTAACCTTTATCCCTCCAGTTAGTCTCCTGCAATCCCTTGTCTGCCTTCAGCTTTCCTGTTATATGTATATGTTTTTATGTATCTGTTTAAAATCTAGGATTCACAAATGAGAGAAGAGCTTGTAATGTTCGTCTTTCTGAGTCTGATTTTCAATGATTATAAAGTATATTTTTTAGATAAATTGGAGGTTTATCTTTTTCTGAGCAGATAAAATGAAATTATGGTGGTTTTTTTTTTTCGTTTTTGAGACAGAGTTTCACTGTATAGTACTTCTTGCCTTGTTCTCCTGAGTGCTTGGGTTGTAGTTGTGTGCTGCCACATTCTGCAGAAAGTGGATTTGTGGATCAGATTGGTATTTGAGTTTGCTTGATGAATATTTTCAACAAAATAAAACTATGTTGATCCTTCAGTATGACAGTTATGTGTGGCAGATCTGTTTTGTTCATGGGACAAGAAGTAGAAAGCAATGGTGATTAAGTTGGAAAAAGGTAGAAGGGCTGATAATGAATGGAGAATGATGACAGGGAAGCCAAAGGAAGTTTGAATTGAATTATGGAGCAAGAGAGTCTTAATGATATGGATTCTTAGAATGATGCAGGTTGTAAGAGGTGGATAATGGGAACAGTACCTTCTAATATGATTTTATATATGCAAAACAGGTTTGTTTATTTTGTAAGTTCATTATAGTAGCCCTTTTTTATTTACTTATGTAAATTTGGGAGAGAGTGTAACTTGATAATTTATTTTGGATTGGAAGTATAAAACAGGCAGGGTCTCAAAGGCTGACCTTAAATTCTATATTAATGCTTTTACCTCCTGAGTGCTGGGATTACAGGTGTGTAATTCCACATCCTGTTTTATGGGGCTACTAGGAATCAAATCCAGAGCTTTGAGCATGCTAGGCAAGCACTCTATCTACTAAGCTACTGCCCAGCCTCAAGAAGACAGTTTCAACTTACTGAAAATTTGATGGCATTCAAAAATGCATCAGTTGCTTATCTAAATAAATTACTTTACTACGTTTTGGTGCCAGTTTATCATTTGTTCTTCTTAAGTTTCCGCTCTTTCTTGTGTTATACCTTTCTACATCTAGATTACATGAGAAATAGCTTGAGCCCAGTCATGTTGGAGACAGTTGGAATGTAAATAAAACCTGTTTTTGTATGTGTGTGTGGTGCTGGGGACCAAGCCCCTGGGCTTCTTGGCATTAGGCAAGGCCTGTACTGAATCAAACCCACAGCTCCCAAGTGTAGTTTTTGTTTAATATGTTATAAAGGTATATGATCTATTCTTTCAGATAATTTTTCTATTTCTTGAGTATAGATTCCTTACAGTTTTGTTTCTGACTAGTGTAGATCCTGGGTTTATTTATTAAAAAATAGCAATCTTTTATAGACTTTAAAACTAGAGTGGAGACTATACAAACAAAATCTAATGTGAGTCCAGCAAATGCTTGTCATAGGTGTTCTGGACTGATCCTGATATTTAGATGCTCTGTACAAAGTATCTGACAGTTTGTCCTTATGTTTGACGTAGAAAACATAGCTATTATAACTAAGCTAGTCTCTAAAATAGAAGATTGAAGGACACAGGTAGAGCTGTAAAGGATGATAATCTAGTGACTACGGAGTCAACATGGTGACCATTTGGTTTTTATTATTGCCTTAAGATTTATAGTAAAACTGTTTCATGGCTTTATTTTCTTTTTGATTCAGTCTTCAATTTGACCAACAATGTGGATTTGGACAACACCAAAAAGAAAATGGAGATATACCAAAAGGAAAACAAAGATGTCATTCAGAAAAATAAATTAAAGCTGGTTAGTTGCTAAATATTTTCTTCTTTCGTATTAGTAACAAATATTTTCACGCCTGCCCTTAATCCCAGCACTGGGAAACAGAGGCAGGCAGATCTCTATGAGATTGAGGCCAGCCTGGCCTACATAGTGAGTTCCAGGTCAGCTGTGGCTAAGGAATTTAACTGAAATTTAAGTGAGAAATACTGATGTATTTTATTGATGCATGTAGTTAGGGGGATATCCACATTACTGTAGCAAAAACAGCATTATATTAGACTGGACTTTCTATAAGGAATAGGTCCATTCTCTGGTGAGTTAAGTTTGCATTTGAGCAATGATCAGGTTCTTTTTTATCCTTGGACATTAATTTCTTTGTTATTTAAAACAAAGGATAGTGGAGGCCACATTGTTGTAGCTCTCCAGGGGAATTTAAGGAAAACAAAGCATCATTTATTGGAAACTAAAATGAATTAATGATTAAACCGGAGAAACAGATGTGAAAGCTAAGCTTAACTTGGTTTTGGTGTACACATTTTTTTGTGTATTAAAATAGTGGCTTTATCACATAATAAAAATAATTTTTAGTTGACCTAATGTCAAAATTTGTCTTTAAATATTTTAGGACATGAAATATTTAAATATTTATTGTTATTCATGGTTAAGCTTATTCTGCAATGGATAAAAATTATACATATGTAGAGATATAATTGTCTTATTTCTAGAATTTAGGTGTCATTTTTTTTTTTTTTTCTTACAACTTAGCTTTCATGTTTCGGAAGAAAGTAGAGGTAATTACTTTTGAGGTACTTATTGGCCAACTGTAATCAGCCCTAAAATGATACATGTCTCTTGAACCATTCCACTCTTTTTTTAATTGAATTTTTGCATTTTTTTCATACAATGTAATCTCATGGTATTTAGATCCCCTTTTCTATCACACCTCTGCTTATTGCCCCTTGCCCAATTTAATGTACTCTATTATACATATGATATATATATATATTATATAACACTTTGAATTTGACTATTTGTATGTATATGTATGTGTATACACTTATGTGCAAGGGTATGTGTGGTGATCAGAAATCAACTTTATGTCTTGTTTCAATGAGCCCCAGAGATCTGCCTGCCCTGCCTCTCCAGTGGCAGAATTTTAGCACAAGCTACCAAGCATGGATTTTTATATGGGTTTTGGGGATTCAATGCTGATCCTCATGCTTGCATGGCAAGGACTTTACCCCTGAGCTTTCTTCCTAGCTCTTGGTTTGTCTATTTTATATAACTCATATAAGTGAAATCATAAAGTATTTATTATACTTGGTAAGATTTCAGTTTTGTTTTTTATCATTTTTCTTTTTTTCTTTTCTTTCTAGACAGGGTATCACTGTGTATTCCTGGTAACCTAGAACTCACTGTGTAGACCAGGCTTGCCTCAAATTCACGGAGATTCACCTGCCTTTACCTCCTAAGTGTTAACATGAAAGACATGCACCACCATGCCTGGCCAGATTTCAGTTTTCATTTCTTTTTTTGATACAGGGTCTACCTGTAGCCCCAGCTGGCCTGGAACTCACTATATAGACCAAGCTGGCCTTGATCTCATAGAGATCTGCCTGCCTCTTGCCTCCCAAGTGCTGGAATTGAAGATGTGTGTTACCATAGTCGGCCCACATTTCAGTTTTCTTAAATTTCTAAGACTTGTTTTGTGATTTGTGATCTATCTTTGCAATAGTTCTTATGTGCTTAAAAAGATTAGCTGCTCCCATGAGACAGAATGTTCTGCATATGTATAACAGTACCATTTGCTGTATAATATTATGGGAGCTCAGTTATTTATTGATCGGTTTGGATGGTCTGTCCATTTTTTTTTGAAAATTATGTTGAGTTTTTGTTGATGATTCTAAGTATATGTGTTTATAACAGTTAAAGTGTGATAAGTGAATTTAACATATTAAAAGTTTTACAGCATCTGTTCAGAAAAGATTATATACTATACAAACTATTCAAGTGATACAAAACCATTTTTCAGTGTCTTTTCAACTGAGAAGAATCCTATTCAGCATGCTTCTCCTCCTGAGGTGGTTCATACTGAGCAAGCTTTGCTTTCAGTTTTTTATTTTCTTCTACATTAGTTTCATATTTCTCTTTCATTTCTGTCAATTCTAGGCGAAGTAGCTCTATTTCTGGGTTTTCCGGGGTAGCAGCTACTAAGTGATGCTTTAAAAAATCCAGAGTACTAGTAGGCTTCTCTGGTTCTTCGTATAAGGCTACCAACACTTTCATCAGCATGTCCAGCACCCCTGAATTCTCCACGTACCTCCAGAACTGCTTGCGCTTCAAGTCCACAGCTTTGTAATAGGCCATAGTGACAGCGACAGCAGCATAGCTGGCACTGAAGACACTGGCTGGCAGGTCTCTCCATTTTTGCATTCACTAGTGTGCAAGCCATAGCTGGTCAGTCAGTCTTCATGTTTGGTTGATGGTCACTCCTTATCATTTTTTAAACCTGGCTCTTCTAATAATTCTATTACTTTACTTAGGGACCTTTCTTTCTGAGGTATTTGCATATCATTCTAACTAGTCCCCTGTTGTCAGCTTGAAGCCTGTTGATCTGTACACCTTCCTGCTGCTAGTCATCTTTCTAAACGATTCCTCAGAGTCTCTTAATGTCTTACCAGTTGCTTCCATAGGGGACAACTTCCTTTTGTGTGTTGCAGTAGACCTGCCGTGATCTTCTGACTCCTTTCCTCTCTAGCTTTGTCTTTCTCCCATATTTCATGACTTAGCTACCAAACAATCTATCTTGTTTCACATCTTTGTCCAGTTGTTTTCCTTTACGAAATGTTGTTCTTCTATCATTGGGGGTGTTTGAAGTCCTAAAACTCTATGTATTGCTTTCCTAGAGTTACTGTAACAAATTACCAAAACCCAGGTTGCTTAAAACAAGAGGAATTTATTTTCTCACTATTAGAGAGGCTAAAACTCTAAAATTTAGGTGTCAGCAGGGCCACACTATCTCTGAAGGCTCCCAGGCTGGATCCTTCTTTGCCTCTGTGGTAGCCAGCAATCACTGCTGTGCTTTGCTTTCTTCTTCACCTGGTCCTCTGTGCGTCTGTGTTCAGATTTCCAGTATGGTATCCTCTTAACTTGATTACCTCAGCAAAGATCTATTTATCCAAATAAGGTCATTTTTATTGGTACCAGGATTTAGGTCTTTAATGTAACTTTTTTATGGACACAGTTCCACTAGTAACACTACATGAAACCTTTTCTAATTCAATTTGTAGTTCTGGGGAAAATTTATCACTTTATCAATTGTATCATTGCTACACATTATGTATACACTGTATGGACACTTGACATACTTAATTACAAATAAACAAACATACTAGATACATTTTTTGTTTTTTACTAGATTTATATGTTCTTTTTTTTTTTGAGACAAGGTCTTACTATGTAGCTCCACTGGCCTAGAACTCCCTGTATAGACCAGGCTGGTCCCCAACTCACGAAGCTGTGCTTACCTCTGCCCCTCAAATGTTAGGACTAAAAGTATGTGCTCCACCCACATCCAGCTTTACATTTGTTTTACTTATCCTTTTAGGTGAAGTTTGGATTTCTTCTCAACTGAAAACTTGTATTAGAGTATTAACCTATGTAACAAAGGTGGAAAGTTTGTAAAAATGACTTGGAGAAAATGCTCACAAGACTTAGCAACCGATTCAAGGAGAATGGGGAGGAGAGTAAACTAAAATGACTTTGAGATTGAGTTTACCTGAGATGCTTGTGTGCTGTCAGCAGAGTATGGAATCTGGAAGACCAGATGTTTAATTTTGCACATACTAAGTTTCTACAATATAAGTGCAACATTTTTTTTTCTGCGTGAAAGCTTTGTGTTTTTTTAGAAGGAAGAAATGTGCCTAATAAATGGATGGAAAAAAATCCATGTTAAAGCCCATAAAGTGAATGACTTTAAATTGTCTGTAACAATTATTTAGCGCACTCCTCCCTCCATATTAACTAGTTATTCCATCTGTGCTTCTGGGCTTAGTGTACTTTGTTTAGATATTGGGCATTCTCTGTAATAGTAACATGTGCACATGAAATAAATCATAGTTTCTTCTGTATAGAATTATTACATTAAATATAAGTGATTAGTTTTCTTTGTTTCCATAAATAGAGTATGTTATCAGATTGTTGCTGGTTGCTAAATTACTCCATTCCGTATATGAATTTCTGTTTAGACTCGGGAACAGGAAGAATTGGAGGAAGCATTAGAGGTAGAACGTCAGGAAAATGAACAAAGAAGACTATTTATACAAAAGGAAGAACAACTGCAGCAGATTCTCAAAAGGAAGAATAAGCAGGCATTTTTAGATGAACTGGTATGTATTAATGCTAATTACGATCAAGAAGTTAAACTTGGCATTTTGCTGAATAATGGCATTTAACGGCAGTTTCAGAGTATTCATGCTCGAGTTCATATTCAGTTTTTTCTAGTATATTTAAAAAATTATTATTATTATTGTTTTGTGTGTGTGTGTGTGTGTGTGTGTGTATGATGTATGTGTGGGGCATGCATGTGGAGGTCAGAGGACAGCTTTGTGGAGTTAGTTCTCTCCTTCCACCTTTATTTGGGTCCTGAAGATTCAACTCAGGTTGTCAGGCTTGCATGGCAAATGCCTTTCCCTGCTGAGCCATCTTGCCAGCCTCACCTTTAGTTTTGATAGCTCTTGATGTTGTCATATGTGTTGCTGAATAGTAGGTCATACCCTTGCCAAACAACCTTCCCCCGTAATCTTTCATGCTTAGAATTCTTTGAGTTAAGAATTCAAGTGGGTCTTTGGGGTCCTCTCCCTCTGCAGTGTATTGTCAGGTCACTACCCCATGTGACTTCTGTAGGTGTGTATGTGGATATCTTGCACACTAGTGGAGTTGTAGGGGGCAACATTCTGAGAGTAAAGAAGTAGACATGTGAATGTTTAAGACTTGGGCTGGGAAGCTGGTTTAGCATCATCTCCAGTCAGTGAAAGAATGCATTCAGTCCCTCAGGCAGTGTTTCCACCCCTTTGTGGGGTTAGGATCACCTTTGCATAATATCTGCTTGGGAAAATTTGTTTTTCCAGAATTTGCTAAATATAAATTCATTTCATATTCAACCTCTACCTCAAAGAGAGTTTAGTGATAGGAATTATGAAAATTGCTTTAATTATAATTTCTATTTTATTTGTATGCCCCCTTTATATATCTACTAAAAGAATTTAAAAGACTGGAGAGATGGCTCAGTAGTTAAGAACACTGGCTGTTCGTGCAGAAGACCTGGGTTTGAATCCCAGCATCCCACCTGGCGGCTAACTGTCTGTAGCTCCAGTTCCAGGGGATCTGATAAGTCTCTTCTGTCCTGTGCCAGCATGACACGGGTGCACTTACCTACATGCAGACAATATGTGCATACACATAAAATAAAAATTAAAACAAAATCTTTTAAAAGTGATTCATCCTGAGATAGGAGGATGTTTGTGGACATGGTGCCATTTGTGGGTCTTAAAGAAGGATGTTGAAGTAGAACTCTGTTGGTTTCACTTCTGTTGCTTTTCTTTCTTCCTCTCCTTTTCTCTCTTCTTCCTCTTCCTCCTCCTCCTCCTCCTCCTCTTTTTCAATGTTTTGTCAATATATTTCAGATGACATAAAGAATGTTATAATTGACATAATACTGAACATATTGCTTATGTCTCTAAGCTTACTTGAACATTTTTAGAGCATTTTCTCTTGATTAATAGTTTTCCAACAACAAGGTTATTTTAGAATGTTTTGGTTCTGTGCTGAAATATAGTGACTGATTATTCTGTGACAGAACTGCGTGCCCATATATTTGCATAAAAATAATATTTATTTTGAATGAAATGGCAGTGTTGTTACAATATTAGTATTTTCTATCAATTAGCTCCTTATTCAACTTTGTTAGATAAGAGCAATAATAGTGACTGTGCCTGTGAAGTTGTTCATGGATTTGTGCTTTATTATTTGAAACTTACAACCCTTGTGATGTTAGTGACATCATGAGCAAGAAAGTGCTCCTCTCTAAGAAAGTCTTTTTGCAGCAACCTGGAGCACTAAGAGCAATGCTGGGGGGATTACTATACCAGATTTTAAACTGTACTACAGAGATATAATCATAAAAACAACATGGTACTGGCACAAAAATAGACCCGTAGATCAATGGAACAAAATTGAAGACCCAAATAAGAGCATATGCAATTTCAGCCACCTGATATTTCACAAAGGGTCCAAGAACATTCACTGGAGGAAAAACAGCATGTTCAGCAAATGGTGCTGGAAAAATTGGATCTCCACCTGTAGAAGAATGAAACTAAACCCTTATCTTTCACCTTCCACAAAAGTCAACTCCAAATGGGTCAGAGACCTCAATGTGAAGCCTGAAACTCTGAAACTGTTAGAAGAAAACATTGGCAAATACCTACAAGATACAGGTGTAGGAAAGAGCTTTCTAAACAAGACATCAATTGCTTGCTCAGGAAACAAGGTCAAGAGTCAACAAATGGGACCTCATTAAACTAAAAAGCTTCTGTACATCAGAAGAAGCAACCAAAGAAGTGAAGAGAAAACCCACAGAATGGGAGAAAATCTTCACCAGCGACACATCTGACAGAGGTTTAACATCCAGAATATGTAACAAACTCAAAAAACAATCAAGAAAGGAAGTAACCCAATTAAAGATGGGCTAAGGAGTTAAACAGAGAGTTCTTAAAAGAAGAAATAAAGATGGCTAAGAAGCATCTTAAAAGGTGTTCAACATCATTAGTAATTAGGGAAATGCAAATTAAAACCACTTTAAGATTTCACCTTACCCCAGTCAGACTGGCCAAGATCAAGAGAACAAATGATACCAAATGTTGGAGAGGATGTGGGGAAAGGGGAACGCTCATCCACTGCTGGTGGGATTGCAAAGTTGTTCAACCCTTATGGAAAGCAGTGTGGATAACTCTTAAAAAACTACAAATGAACCTACCATTTGACCCAGTTATACCACTCCTCGGCATATACCCAAAGAACTCATCCTATTGCAGAGACACTTGTACATCCATGTTTGTTGCTGCTCTTTTCACAATAGCTAAGAGATGGAAGCAACCTAAGTGTCCCTCAACTGACAAGTAGACAATGAAAATGTGGTTCATTTATACGATGGAGTTTTACTCAACAGTAAAGAAAGATGAAATCATGAAATTGCAGGTAAATGGATGGAACTACAAACTATTACACTAAGTGAAATAACACAGACTCAGAAAACAAAACAACAACAACAACAACCCCAAAATGACATATGTTCTCCCTCATATGTGGATCCTAGCACCAAATCCTGATAAGTGATTATGAATCCAGACATAACTACAGGAACCAGGATAATGGAAAGGAACCAGGGAGGTAAAGGAAAAGAAAGAATCTGAAAGAGAACAATAGGAAACAGACATTAACAAGGGAGCTATGGATAAAAATGGGGTTATTTTAAAGGGGTGGGGGAGGGAGGGCTATACAAAGAACCTTGGGGATAAAGGGAAAGGAGGAGCTTAAGAGAGGTGGGACCATAGGAGAAGGGTATTATTAAGGGAGAAAGGGGAAAACTAGCTCAAGGAATATGATATATATCTAGGCAAGGTTTATCTGAGAATGTTTGGTCTTTGCCCAAGCTTTATCTACATGGCACATAGTAATTAAAAGTACCAGACTGTTGGAAATAACCTTCTTGGATGTTTAACAGCTATACTTTGAGGCCTGTACTAATTTGGTCAGAGGGACATAAAGGACAGTTTTTGCTCCTTGCCCTCCTAGGTCAGCTAAGTTCCAGGGAACTCTGAGCATCTCTCAAAATGTACTGTAACTGTGGTTAGTTACCTGTCCTCTTGATCAAGGAGGCCATGGAGACCCCATCAAATGGACTTAAACCAGTGTCCAGTCTACAAAGAGAAGGGTCAACACAGAGGAAACATTTCCTCCATGCTTCCAAATGAAGCCAGCCATAGTTGAGCAGGACCTTTGACTTATCTTCACATAGGCAGAACTGGTAAAAGAAAGGAGCCAGGGGCTCCTCCCAAGCCCATGTAAC